ATATCTTGTATTTCTAAGTCAACGACGCACAAGCCTCTAAGTCTTATTCATGTCACATATGTCACTATAGTCATAAACTCCTAACGATTCTCAATCACAAGAAGGAACAATAAATGCAGCTAATACTATGCAATAAAACATGGTATGTCACGTAATTAGAATACGAAATATAAAATCAGCGAATGATTTGCAAATAAAAGTCACGATCAACAACCATCAATCACATGATCATAAACTAAATTAATTCAAAATAAATAATTCTTTTGCAAAATAAATTCCTTTCAAATTGTCTCTCACCATAATTATTTAAAAATAATCTCTTAAAATAATAAATTCATAAATTTTTTCAAAATAATCTGTTTATAAGATAAATTCTTATTATTTCAAAATAGTCTATTTTCCCAAAATAAATTCTTTTAAAAATATTTATCATTCTAAAATGATTTTCTTCCACAAAATAAATTCTTAAAAATATTATAATTATCCAAAAAATAATATTTATCACATAATTACGATTCATTCAATATTATTCATCAAACCCACGCAGATAATTATTAACAGATCTAAAATTCTAATAAAATAATTAAAAATGTAAATTTGCACGTACGACAAATATAAGAATTGAAACGAAACTAAACGAGAATCTGGATCTTGCCTTGGGAATCTTGTTGAGGATATCATAGAGGACAGTGGGGGTCGTCGGGTGGCTGTACGGGTCACAACAGGTTCCGCGACTCGTCGGAAAGTCAATCATGTGATAGAATACAAAAAGGGAGGTGTTAATAGCGATTATCGATATTCGAAGCGATATAACAAGAGGTAGAAACTGAGCCAAAGTGAGAGGAATATACCGTGTGATAGACAACACGAAGAGCTACGTACCGGCGAAGACGGTGACGAAAACAGAGACCGGAGGTGGCCGAAAAACGCGTGCGAAGTCGGCACAGCGCTGCTAAAATCTGCAAACTGCTTGCTGTCGAGCGATGTTTCGAACTTTACCGAGAGAGATAGAGAGTGAGTTAGATCGTGATACAAATTGGAGGTGATAGGGCTACTCACCGGAGAAGAAATCAACGAAAACGAAGGTCAGAGGTGATCGAAAAGTACGTGTGAAGTCAGCACAAGTCTGTAGTTTTCTGCTCGGTGTTCGGGCTCGTTTCTCGTTGTTCGGAGCCTTCTCTTGCTGTCCGGGCTTGCCGAAGGCGGGAAGAGGTTACCGGTGTCATCGGGGTGTCTCGTTAGGCTTCGATGTTGCTCGGTCAAGGAGGGGCGGTGTGGTGGTCGAAGAAGAAAGAGAGGGAGGTTGTTGGCGCGGCTTGAAGAGTGCAGGCGGGGATGGAAGAGAGAGAACGAGAGAGGAAGAGAGAGAGAAAGAAAACGAGAGAGGGAAGGAGGACGAGGAAGTGGGGCATTGATGGAGGAGGCCGATAACGTGGGGATATCGGGGCGGATCTGAGCGGGCTTTGGGGTGGACGCGGGGTGTGGGCAGCGGGGCGAGGGGTTCGGCGGTGAAGAACAGTGGGATTATTGTAACTTGCTTGTATGCTCGCTTTGTCCTAGTGAAAACCAAACTATCTTTGAGCTGTTAGTGAAAACCAGCATATAATCGCATATTTATTACTTCCTCCCGCAACGTACGGTTCAGTCTCTCTGCGACTCCATTCTGTTGTGATGTTGACCTGACTGTCCAGTGTCAAGCAATACCCTCCTGATCACAGAACTTCTTAAAAACACCATCTATGTACCGTTATCAGATCTCAGTGTCTTCAATTTCCTACTTGTTTTGTTCTCAATCATTGCTTTCCACTTCTTGAATGTCTCGAATACCTTATTCTTATGCTTAAGAAAACAAATCCAAGCATACCCAGAATAATCATCTATAAACGAGATAAAATACCTGGAACCACCCTTGGAAATTGTCGGAGCCGGACCCAAATATCTGTATACACATAGTCTAATTTACATCTGCTCTTGTGCTTGCTTTTTAAGAACTGGACCCTATGCGCCTTTTCATACACACAATCCTCACAGATATCCATGCAAGGTTTCTTTATGCTCTTCAGCAAACCTTCCTTACCAAGCAGATCTATACCCTTCTCTGACATGTACCCAAGCCGCCTATGCCATAACTGAGTGTGCTCACATGGGTCTCCATCACTTCCATCAGTTCCAACCATTGTATCTCCTGTCACTATCGTACCCGAGAGAGTATATAGATTACTGTGATGAATACCCTTCATCACTACTAAGGAACCTCAAACAACCATCTTTACTCTATTCCTTATAACTATCTTGCAGCCACCGGAGTCCAAAGCACCAACTTAGATAAGATTCTTCTGCAAGTCGGGAACATGCCTCACATCCGTTAGGATTCTGACCACTCCATCATGCATCTTGATTTTGATTTTATCAAGCCCCACCGTTTTACAAGCATGGCTATTCTCCATCAATACGGTTCTACCATTAATGCTCCTATAGGTAGTAAACCACTTCCTATTTGGACACATATGGTAAGAGGAATGCAAATCAAGAATCCACTTATCGGAGGTATCTTCACCACACATAACGGTATAGCATTCTTTTTCGCTCCCTTCCTCCAAGACATAGCTTACCTCTTCCTTGCCTTCTCTTCTCTCGGTTTTATTGTTGTTCTTTTTCTCACCTACTCTCTTGTTAGGACAGTCAACATTGAAATGCCCAAGCTCACCGTATTTGAAACACAGTCTTCCTACAAAAGGTCTAGATTTCGATCTAGACTTTCCTCCCTTATCTTTTCCTCGCTGATTGCTCCTTCCTCTTACAAACAGTCCTTGTGCCTGCTCCTTGTTACCACTAGTAGTCATGTTACTAGTTGCAATTTTCTAAAGATCATCCGATAGAAGCGCTGTTCTAGTCTCATCCATCTTCAAATTGTCACCTACAAGCATCAATGTTTGTACCTGGTTCTCATAAGAAGTAGCATAAGTGCTTGATCCTCATCTTCTACTTTCACATCAATGTCCTTCAAATCCGATATGATCTTATCGAACTTGTTGATATATTCCCGGATTGATGATCCTTCCTCCATTTTGCAAGTATATAATTTGGACTTTAAGTAGATCCGATTTGTTAGACACTTCGTCATGAAGGTACTCTCTAACTTTGCCCACACACCTGCAGTCGTTTCCTCTCCATCCACCAAGAAAGCTACATCTCTCTCAAGGTATAGGATAATCGACGCTCGTGCTTTGAGGTCTAACTCTTCTCAATCCTCATCAGACATATCTTTGTGCTTCTTTTCTTTTCCTACCAATGCCTTGTGTAATTTCTGCAAAATCAACGAGTTTTTCATTTGCATCCTCCAATAGGAAAAATCATGCTTCCTATTGAACTTTTCAATCTCATACTTTCCCACTTTGACCGTTTTACTAGTAGACATCATTCTCCACTTGTATTAGTTAAATCCGCTTCTCTCAGGAATTTCAACAAAACACCTTGTGTATACCACACAATAACCAAGTATCACCTCAAATCGGAAGTTCTAGCACCACCAATCTGATCAAGGGGCTCTGATACCAATTGTTGGGTGACAATACGCCCAACTCGCTGCGGAAGCGAATCACCTTGAGAGAAAGCCCTGATTTTTGTTTTCATAAAACACAAGCCAATCTCGATGTTCCTGTTTCGATAACGAAAACAAGAAGAGAAGTGAATATCTTAGCAAGGTGAGATATACACTCTTCCCAATATCAGATCTAGGTCTGAATATCGAGGGAACCAACCAACATAAGCAATAGCCAATACAATAAGTGAGACACAAAATTAACATGGTTTGACAAACTTGCCTACGTCCACGGGGAGGGGTGAAGGGAGGGTCCACTATGATGGAGAACACCAACGACTTGTACAACCCACAAGCTAGTCCCAAAGAGATGAGGCTATAATTTTACCCAAGAAAGATGATCACTTTCTTGTACAATCCCTCCAAGTTCTCTCTCTTTTTCTCTCCTCAAGATCTCACCTTTCATAACTGAAAAACTCTCCTTTTCTCTGAAAAACCGTCACACAAAACTCTAGGAACGAAGTTCCTTTTTATACCAAGGAAACAGGGCCAAAACAAAACCCAGCGCGACCCAATGTAACAGAAATGACGCCTATTTCATTTACTTCACATACTTCATAGCTACTTCCACATAAACAAACAGGCGCCAAGTGAATTACCATATTTTTTGTAACGTTCTCATCTCAAATATCTCAACTAAAAATCCCACGATCTCCCATTATCTCCTCAACTCCTGATTCTTTCAGTTTTTGTAACATTGCTGCTTTTCCTTCCTTATATAGTCATCTTCTACCAAGAATAGAGATCAGTGCTTTTCTCATCTTCTACGATCAAGCTATATTCAATGTTTTTTTTTCCCAGAATATTTCTTCCAAGGTCCATCCTGCTATTTTGCACTGCAACGGTCTCGACTACTTTGTAATGCAAAGGTTATTAAAAATATGTTCTTTCTCTATCAATATTTTCTCTTGGTATCGTTTCTAACCAACACTTTTTCTCAGTTCATGCGAGATAAATATTGGCTTCATCCTACTTTTGCTTGGCACCTATATCGGCTTAGTTATGCTTATGTGATCCATAAGGAAATAAAAAAAATGTTATTCATACTTCAAAGTTCTATTTCAATATCTTTTTTCTTGGTAACTTCTCAGCTTGAAACTTAATTTTTTGTTGGCTTATTTATTTTCAGACCAAGATCCATCCTCCTACTTTGCATCGCACGGGTCTCAGGTAATTTATGACCCACAAGGTAATAAAAATGTCTCAGCTAATTTATGACCCACAAAGTAATAAAAATGAAGACGTGTTCTTAATTTATATTTTTATCCTTTTTAATTTGGTGTGATCTCATTCTATCAAAATATAAAAATTGTTTTATTGTGAACAAGTGTGTATTGTACATGCACGCATCGTGTGCACTAGAACTAGAAGTACTAGTAATAATAAAAAGAACCACCACTCACATACAACACAGAATATTGTAGCTATGGATTGTTACAAGGTTGCAAAAACCATCGACGGAAATAAGAATACAAACATACATGGAGTTGGGAGATCTAGAAGCCTGTGCTTGTTTGCATTATCGACATTAAAGGCAAGAAAACTGTGATGGAAGAAAAAGGATGGCAAACAGGTCAGGTCGGATCAGAAAAGGAGTGGCAAACAGGTCAGATCGGGTCAGTTCTGACCCGACCATATATGCTTAATCCGACCCGCCCCACTTAACAAACGGACCCAACGCATATTGCAAATTAGCAGGGCGACTAACTTTTTGCAGTTTTACCAAAATTAACTAGCATGATAATTAACAGAGTACATTCCTAAGAAACACTTGCGCATACAAACGAAAAATGACAAAAACATTGCAATTACTGCATCTATATGCCTCATATAAAACCCAAACTGTGCAATTACTGCATCTCTATGCCTCTTATAAGCCCAAACTCCTCTCAGAACTCACTAAAGCTTCACGCGTACAATTTGGATAGATCATCAGCAAACCTCTTTCTGAGGACTTCCCTCTTTAGCTTGAGTGCTGCCGTGACTAGGCCGCTCTCAGGAGTCCATGCTTCTTCCATCAGCTTAATCTTTGCAGGTATTTCAAATTTCTCTAACCGTGTTTGTTTCGCTGCCTGTATCCAAATGTAGGAAACTTCAAGTAATTAGCAATCTATAAACTGAAAGGTATTAAGTTTGATTATATTAGGATGCAATTCGTGGTAAATACTAAGTCTATGCTAAGTATTAAGATACCCGTCAGAGAATACGGAACATTTGCCAATTGGTAACATCAAACAACAAGATATTTCAATGGTTGCAGGCTTGCAGCTAGATTAAGGTCACAAGGCATAATTTTCACTGGGAATAAGCTACCATAAATAACAGATTGGAAACATGTAATCAAAGATATTCGAGTAAAAAAGAACATAATGATGCAGCTAGTGATTGGGGAAGTATTCAATAAAGACCCAGCAGTGAACATATTTGGTGCTATGAATGTAAAACTTCTTTCCAATTATACTTGTCGATGATGCCAGCTGCATGTCCAAGACTTACCATGATAATGGGAGTCTCAACCAGAAGATCTTCCGGCCAGTTAATCCGACACTTTGATAAGAACAAAGGCTTTTCAAACATATATAGTTCCTATTATGCAGCCACACCGTGTTTGATGTAAGCAACATTTCATACTGCATGCGAGTGTTTTTTCTTAACAAAACAATTTGTATGAATACCGATGTGAACTATTTCCAAAAAGGACAAATTAGCAAATAGGAACATTGGCAAATTAACCTACCGCCCACCTGCTATAATTGAACAAAGGAAACATTGTTTCAAACCCAGGGGCTTAAAATGATCAGAGCTTCCTCACCTTTGACTTTTTTATAAAGTCTCCGCCCCCTAACCAAAGAACCATGTTTCCCCCTCCTTGTCCCCATGTGCATTTTAAACATGCCCAAAGTAACTCCCTCCTCATTCTCTCTCATTTTCTCATCCCTCCCATGAACCCATGAACCCCTAGACTCATTTATCTTAAGGGGTTTTTGCCTTTAAACCCAAAGCTTTACCCTGACTTACTTTTACTCCCAAGTTGTTTTATTTGCATCTATAAACCCAAACTACTTTGTGTATTATTTTTAAACCCAATCTCCCAATTCCCTAATACACTACATAATATGTGGCCCCCCTATAAAATTTTTTTTTTAAAAAAGCTGATTTTACCCCTCTCCCTTCATTCTCTCTCCCTTCCCTCTAAATTTTTTTATTTTCTAAAAAACATCCTATAGTTTTTTAATTGTAAAAAAATACCCTAAAATTTTTGAATTTATAAAAAACATTATGAAAAATTTAAAATACAAACAACACGCCATTAATCTACGAATTATGAATAGCCTCTAAAAAACTTAGAATTTGTAGAAAACGCCATAAAAGTTTTACAGCAATTCTGAAAAGCCAAATTTGCAAAAGAACACCCTCACAAGTCAAATTTTACAAAAATACTCTAAACATATCAAAACTTACAACAATGTGCGTTTTAATATTTTCATCTTCTTAGAGCATTTTTGTAAAAATTTTAAGGAGATTTTTGCAATTGCCTAAAATTTAAGGGTGTTTTTTAAAGATTATAAATTTTTAAGGGCTACTCACAATCGAATTTTGGTATATACAATTTGCAGGTTTGAAATTTTTAGGTGTTTTTCTAAATTTTGACATTTTAGGGTTTTTTGTAAATTTTTTATTTTTTAAGATGTTTTTGCAAATTTGAAAGTTTGAGTGTGTTTTTTGCAAATTCTAAACTTTTAGGGGACTGTTTATAATTCCTAGATTTACTGTGTATTTGTGGTATTTTAAATTTATAGGAATGTTTTTATAAATTTTAAATTTTTAGAGTGTTTTTTGCAATTAAAAAAATTTATGAGCGTTTTCTACAAACTCAAAAAAAATTCAGAGGTAAGGGATAGAGAATGAAAGGAGAGGAAGGGGTAAAATATGCTTCTAGAAATTTTATTAGAGGGGGAACACATAGTTATGTAGTGTATTAGAGAGGTTGGGTTTAAATATAAATATACAAACTTGCTTGGGTTTACAAACACAAATAAAACAACTTGGGTTTAAAAGTAAATTAGAGTAAAGCTTTGGATTTGAAGGTAAAAACCCCTTATCTTAACCACTGGTTCCGTCTCCCTTTGAGCCAGTGGCGGTAAGGCATAAACCCAAGAACCTCTACACTATCCCACCCCAAACCCCCCACCCCAAAAAAAACAAAAAAAAAAACAAAAAAACATCTCCCGCAACGGTGAAGAGGTGGTGGGACCGAAGGGAGGTGATGGCTAAGAAAGGAGGGATTTTAGATGGAGTGAGCCCACGACAGGCAGTGACAGAAGGTATTTTAAGTAGAGTGAGGTGGCGGCAGCAGAAAGGTGGTAGTGAGTTGGAAAAGATAATGGTTGAGTAAAGAGGAGAGAGGGTTTATGGGAGAGAGGAGAGGTTGAGGGTGATGGTGTGGCTAAGGGTACTACGGAGTTATTCAAAAATATTGTAGGGAAAAGGGTCGGGGGTGAGGCATTGGTTAAAAGTCAGGAAGGAGCAGGGGCTTGAGGCAATTTTCCCTTATACATAATTCCTCAACAAATTTATCTAAATTTCATGATATCAGTAATAGGAAAGAGGTGAATCTAGAGAAAAGAAAGGAAGAATGAAATATGCAAACCTTTACTAATGATCCCTGAACTTCTTTCACAGCTGCTTCTTTTTGACACAATTCTGAAAGATCACTATATATGATTCCTTGTGACTTAGCCCAGCTTTCTAGTGCCTGATAAGCAGGTACTACAAGAGCCACACAGTAACTGTGGAAAGGATCAGCATGCAACATGATGTTGTCTACATAAGGGCTCACACTAAGAGCAGCTTCTACCTGCAAAAGATGGTAAAATCACTTTGCAAGAATAAGGTGATGGAAAAACAAACTGCTCAAAAATATTCAACACACCTTGCCTAAAGAGACGTATTCACCATGCTGGAGTTTCACTATATCCTTTTTACGGTCAATTATTTCAAGGCAGCCATCAGGGTGAAAACGCCCAATGTCTCCAGTGTAAAACCACCGCATTCCCCTTTCATCAACCTTTGTGATATTATGCAAGTCAAAGCAGTAAGTTTAAATTTTATGACCAAACCACATAAAGCATGGTCCTGTGTAGGTAATTAAAATTGGCAGTCTACCTTGTAGACCTCCTTAGTTTTTTCTTCATTTTTGAAGTATCCCGCGGTGACATTAGGTCCCCCGATTACTATTTCTCCACGAGGCATAGGTGTATCCACAGTTAAGTACCCACCTTCTGGCCAATCAATCAACTGATACATGATGTGCTTGAGTCAGTAATTGAATGGACGTTGGCAAAAGAAATGGGGGAAGAACATGTAGAGGTCATTCAAGTTTCTTTGAATTTAACAGGAAAGAGAAATTTACCAAGTGTTTGGGTAAATTCTATTGAAAAGTATATGAAAATGAAATAGCAAAGAGAAATCCTCATGTTTATAAATTCAAGCACAGTGCAAATTATAGGACTGCATGGATCAAAACTTTGTTAAAGTTTCAGTGAAAAGAAAGTCAGACGATGGAGTTATATGAAACTACAATGGAAGATTTTCTACTTTTCTTTAGATGTCAATTGAAATGCCATATCGTTATAATCACTTGGAGAGGAAATGCCAATACCTAAAGCTGCTATGAAAGAATTGTTGCCCAGCCCTCAAATCAACCACACAATAAAGAAAAACCAAAGGACTAGAAATGGGGAAACTGGTTAAGGTAAGTTACAGAAACAAATGTTTCGGCCAAGATCAGTTGAAATAATAAATATATACATTCTGTCCAGGAATAAGTTAATATAAATATCCTCAGTAGGAAACTGTCAATATACATTCTTTCCAGCGACAACTGTTGATATAAATGTCCTGATAATTATACTAGTTGAAAGAGAGAGAAATTCATTAAATTACCTTTAAAAATGAGCAGGGGAGAGGAGCACCAACACGACCCACAGTTGTATCATCATATTCAGAAAATGTTCCACCAGCACAAGTTTCAGTTAGACCATATCCTTGCCCAATTGGAGCCCTAGAAATTAAAAATACATATATTATTATTCGATGACATACTGGCATTGGAACAAATATAGAACTATACAAATGTTAAGAAGCAATTTTCCTAGTATGTCCAAAACCAGAAAGCAATTTTCCTAGTATGTCCAAAACCAGAAATAAACATAGAAAAGCATACTACTCTTCCTTTTTCTTTTTATTTTCTTTTTTGCTTTGAATTAGTCATTAAAAGGCTACCAAAGTGAAGCAGATTCATGCTAAATTCAATGGCCCTTCCTGCGGCAAATAACACAATTTTTAACAGCACAACTATTGTTAAATCTATGCATGTGGTGTTTTCATAACTAGCAGTTCAGGAACTACTCTGCTTCTCTACCAAAAAATTGATGAAATTATCAAACCGATTGAATTAATAAATCAGTCTAACTACAACACTGCCAATTAACTAATTTTAAGCATCTAATCCATTTTTGAAGTTGCCATCCAACATTCCAGAGAATTCACTAGTTATAACTTCCATAAGGGTGCAAGTTAAAAGATACTGAAGCTCATACTAACCCAAGGCATATGTTAATGAATCTTTGTGTAACTCCAGAAAGAGGAGCCCCTCCAGACAGAAGAAAACGAATATGACCTCCCAAAACTGCTCGAACTTTCCTAAACACGAGAAAATCCCATAGCATTTTCTCCAAGCCCCATGCCCCAAACCAACTTCCATTAATCGCAGCCAACCTACGTCCATATGCAATGTCAAACAATTTTCTTGATAGTCCACCTTTTGCATCTACCTGATACATATAGATAAAGTAATTAATGAAAATGAACTTTAGACCAAAGTGCTACTTTGTCACAACAAATGTGGCTTACCTTTTTTCTCACACCGTCTCGGACACGGTCAAGGATAGCAGGGACAGCAACCATTAGTGTTGGTCTCAAGACTGAAGCATCACCTTTTGTTCCCTTTTTTATCTTGTTAGATGTATCAGTGAGAGTCAATGGTGATCCGTATCCTATACTTATTCCTACAGCAACCATCAAAGACTACAACAGAAACATGTCTCCATTAGTCAAATTCGAATAAAAGATCAGTTGGATACAAGTGAGCTAGGAAGATTGAAGATTAATCATTTTGGAGACTGGAAAGAATAATTTAACACCCTTACCTCTGCAGCTAACTCAAGAACATGAGCTAGAGGCAAGTATGCCAGATAAACATCTTTTCTACCAAGCCCAGGGACAATAGTCATGACCGCAGAGAGTGTTGATAGGATATTACCATGTGTCATCATGACTCCCTACATGAAAATTGTCAAAACAGAAACATTACAAGAGAATAAAGAGACCAGCAAGATATTAGGAACACTGGAGTTTTTAAATAGCATTTCATTTATATCTAAGATTGAAAATTTTCCATGGTGCTGTTTCTAAGTACACTGCAAGGTATGATTAGTTCGAACAAATACAAAAAACATGCAGGAGAAAATGCTCTGTTACAAAAATGAGAGAACTCCCATGAAAAAAGAAAAACATTGCAATTTGTTGAGTCTTCTTTCTCTTCTAAATTCATTTTTTATCAGTCCTTCGTTCTTAAGCACAAGTAATGCATATTCAGTTGCTAAATTATATCCAGTTTCATAAAGAAGGAAACTGAGGTTCTGTTCCTAAGTTCATAACTTTGAAATAAGCTGCAATGAGACATCATATTCTCTTTGCATGTGTTGCTTCCTCTACTATAATTATCAAGATTATGAAGGACTGTTCCATCGTTTTCCTTACTCCCCATATGTTAGTTACCACTCTTTTACCATCCGAGCTAGTTTAGCACTTTTCCTTTCAGTGAGAAGTTCCACCTCTGTCCTCTTCTTCCATTTCTAGCTCAGAAGAAGAACATGACCAGATGTTCTCCCCCATCAAGAATTGTCACATTTGCACGAGAACCTCTCCCAAACTCAAAAAAGAATTTAGAGAATTTGAGCTTGCATAACCTTATAATACAAATTTCTAAACAATATTTGGCAACCATACAATGCCCTCAACGAACACGTCTACTTGTACCTCAGAGGTGCTTCAACCTTACTTCAATAAATATTCTGACAGATGGTTACATAACTGCCTGCAAGTGGAGTACTTTGCAGAAGTTGGAAATGTATGTCCAATATTTCTCTTCTAATATCACTGAGATTAAAATTCATGTACTAACACATGCACGTGTGCATGCACACATGCACATGCACACGCGCGCTTGAACACACATCACACACGCACGCATGAACACACACCACACACGCACGCACACATGTACATGCACTCGCGGCGAACACCCGCACACAGAGTTAGACGGAACAGTAACTGTATACATATCACTTGACAAGAGAAAGTTGAGAAATAGAGTTATAAGCTAACAGCATCATGTTGTCACTGCCAAGGACTAAAACATTGGAAAATAAAAGGCACATTTCCCCTAAACTCCTAGCCCCATATGTATAACGAAAATCTGAAATCAAAGGACAATCACAAGATTTTAACTTGACAGATGGAAGTCTAAAGATCTTAATAAAAATTATATGAAACTATATCCTAAAAGTGCACATTTACAAGACACCAACAAGACACACATACATAGCTGATTTAAATTATGGTTTGCTCCCTAACATACCAAAAAAATTAGCCAAGATCTATAATTAATTTGCAAACTAAGACACCATAGCTCAGCAAAACTTATCATTTAGCATTTGAATGGATAAAGTTGAAGAGGTTTGAACATTTTGGTCAAATAATGCAGTTCAGACTTGTAATCAGATGTTGCTTACATCTTTAAGAAAAGTCAGCTGGCGTATTGAGGTATTTTGCAAATTGCAATGACATCATTTAAGTATTTAAAACCTGATCTACACAAAGTAAAGTCAGAGCTCGAAACAACCTTAGGCAAACCAGTGCTTCCGCTGGTATACATGATAACTGCAATATCAGCTGAAACAGGCATTTCAGCAGCAACAGGATTTTCCCGGCCTATCCTCCCTACATCTTCAAAAGAGGCAAGAGTCCATTGAGTATTCTTTTCAGCCAGCGAAACGTCCTTTGCAATACCCTCATCATTCATATAGATCACACGTTTCACAGTGTCCAATTGTCCACTTATACCAATGAGTTTTATTAATTCTTTATGTCCACAAACCACAGTTGAAACTTCAGTCTGTATAACATAACAGAATACATAAATACCATGTGAGGATCTGAAACAGTAAAAGAACTTGTGGAGAAGCAGAAACAGAAACTAAATCATAGGCATAAAATTAACTGCAAACTGCATTCAAGTATCATAAAAAAGTTCAAACACTCCGTCCACATAATTTGCAATAAACCATTAAATTGGATGATCAGCCTGGGATATTGAAATCACAGTTTCCCAATATTTTGCATAAACACTTCTACAGTAGACTCATGGAAAGGAATTCTCCATGAAACAATAGTATACACTAAGATGGCATGTGACAGCAGTTCACCAAAAAAACAAATTAAATCACAAGTTTTGACACTGGCATCATAGAAAGTCACTTCTCAACAGTCTTTTCCTTGGTTTGGTTAATAATAAGAAAAAAATTTGTAGTGACGCATTAAACTGCAAAAACATCGTACAAAGGCATGGATCCATCTGTATAATAATTAAGAATAACAGACAGCCACGGATAAATTAATTGATAGTTGATGGAAAGAGGTCCCAAACTAACACAACGAAAGCAATCCTGATGTCCAGTTTATGTTATATATATAAACTATTGTGGTAGACAGTTCTTCTGGCAGCAAGATTTTAAATATCTTTTTTTATAAAAACAAGAGTTCCAAGGAATGTTAAAGATATAACTAAATGATTTCCACATAATAAGGCTTTCTAGTTGGAGTACTAACATATCAACGGCAGAGAAAGGGATCAACATCTAATACAATTGGAACAAGAAAAGCATAATAATAAATGGTTTCATGAAAAATCAATAAGACATTACAGAACCTAGTAAACTGAAGGTAGATTGGTTTAGACCTTTAGGCCCACAGTACCACTTCTAAGTTTAACTTTCAGATCCGTAAAATACAAAGATTATGGTATGCGAGAATACATATTTTGGCTTTTTTATATAGAATGCTTCACATTCGAAAGGAAAACGTTTATGTGTGGTCAATTCCAAACTTCACTATAATTGAATTTGGCTTATTAGTGAGGCTCCACTTACGAGGCTTTGCCCGGGCTTAGGTTAGCACTAGTGCCTTCTTATTATGTCCCAGCAACCTAAAGTAATCTTGGCCTTAGGATGACCTACGGGATAAGAGAATTTGAGCTTGACCATATCAAAACTAGATCAAGGTAGTCTCCACATAAGTCTAATCATTAAACAAAAACTGAGGGAATATATGTGTAGTTCAAGTGGTGGAAGGGTGGGAGAGGAAGAAATAAAAAGAGAAGGAGAAGAGGAAAGAGGGTGAGAGTACCTCATTTAAAGAGTGACAAAGAGCCTCCTCTCCTAATGAAGCATATATAGTGACGACTGTGATGTTTCTTCTGAAACAACCCTGTCAAAATAGAGTCAATGCAAATAAAAAGAAGTTATATAACAATACATCATGAAAAATTTACATCTGTTGGGTCTCAAATACAGAGAGAAAGTATATACAGATAGGCTTGTTTTGAACATATAATATGATGGCTGAAGAAAGATTGTATAAACAAACAATAATTTAGTTGTTCAATAACTAAGTATCCCAAGTACCTAGCTAGTAGCCTAGTATTATTAGCATATCGAGATTCATGAGAACCTACATTGACTATGGGTCATAACTAAAGATTAGATTCTCTCTGCAAAAAAATTTCCTTGCAGAGTGCATTGTTAGATATATGATGCAAGCCTAATAGCATGATATTTGACCCATTTTTGTATCCACCTAGATACGAACTCCTTTGAGCGCTAGTGGTTTGGGTTGTGACGAAAAGGTCTACCACTACCCTCTCTTCTATCCATCTCTCCTCTTTAATGGCTCTTTCTCTCTCCCCCAAGGTTCTAAATATCGGGCATCGAGGAAATACTGGATGACGCAGATATAGGAAAAATATCGTGGATAAGTAGTACATATCGGAGTTCTGTATCAGATGATGTGCATATATTATATAATTATAATATAAACATACTTAATGAAATCTAAGAATACACACAATAATATATGTTTAGGACCACAAACCAATATTCTAACACAAATACAAGCCCAGATCGACATTGCAACATTTTTGCGGATTTTTTTTTCAGGCTGAGATGTCACTTGAATATTGAAGAATTATGATATACCACCCAAAATTTGCTAAATGCTATTGTGTTGCAGCAAGTCATAGAAAAGGATATATCGATCAACATGTTAGCTAATATATGGGCCATTTTAGGGATATATCACAAAATTTGCCAAAAAGCTTAAAGGTTATTAAGATCATATCATTTTGCAACAAACCTTATAAAAAGGATGTATCAGCTGATATATTAACTATGTCAAGGATATTTAAAACAATGCTCTCCATCTTTAATGGCTCTCTCTTCTTTAATGGTGGTTCTCTCTCTTCTTTAATTGTGGTCCTCTCCCTCTCCCTAATGGTGGTTCTGTCTTTTCTTTAATTGTGGTTCTCTCTACTTAATGGTTGTCCTCTCTCCCTCTAGAACTCCCCCGTCTCTCTAAAAACGTTTCTCTATTTCTTTCCTCTCTCCAAACTTCTCTCCCTTTGTCTCTCGTTTATCCTCTTTGTCAAGCCTCTCCTTGTATCCCCTGCTGCATAGCTATACCACTTTCTTCCATGGTGTTTATCTAATAATACAAGTAGTTAGCATTGCATAGTTCAATATTGTCATAGGTATTTTCTCTATGTTTTTAGTATTGGATGGTTGGTCTTGTTATTGAGCTTGCAATGGCATGGATATTATTAATAACTATATTACTTGTATTTTGAATGAGCAATTTTATTTAAAATGAGTTTGAAGCATTTTCTTTCATGTGGAGGAAAAATCTAATGTCACGCTGCATCAAAATATAATCATTCCATCACCAATTAGAATGAAGGGAAGCTACGTGCCACAAGGGCATGCGTGTAAGATCTCTACTAGCAGATCCCCTTATGAATATTATTAACCCAGAGGATTGGCTTCCCATGAATAATTTTCTCAATTATGTATAGTGAGGAATTAGTACCCGTGATGGAAAGTCATAATCGTTATATCCATGAACCATAAATATAGTAAAGGATAAAACAAAGAGTAACAATCACGTATGCAGCTATGTGCTGTTTTTTTAGATTTGGAAAGTAGGAGAATTTTCTCAGCAAATGGAAATTAAGAGTACTAAAAATTTTTCCAATATAGAGATTAATTCTTGCTCGTCACTAACCCACATGAATAAGCACCAATTCACAGTTTTAAGCGGAGCTAACTCTGCTCGCGTATCAGCAAATATCGCACCAAGATGCACAATTCCAGAAGCAAAGTTGCAAACAGCATCATAAGCTTGATTATAACTCAACCATTCATACTCCCCGAAATGAAATTTCTCAAAGGACCTTCCATCTGCTGTGACTTCAATTTCACTGGAGATAAGCTTACGGGTACCAAGCATTCGTTTGGTAGCAAAATTCTTGCAAGCAAGATCAAATAGCTCGGCAAGTGTTGTAACTCCTTCCCATTGTGTTTCGACGGGCGAGGTGAACCGATAGTTTCGAATAGCATACCCGGGTTCTCCACCGACATCAACAGGCAAACCTCGCTGTTTTGAACTCTTTTTACTAAGAATATAGGAGAACACAAAGGGAACAACGATACCGACAAGATAAGGATTCATTCTCGATCAGGTCAATGAAGCCCAACAGATATTTCCAAATTCAAGACCTACGATAGTGAAAATGTCAGTCTTTAAAACATTAAGAAATAATTACTGACTATGATTAATGTAGCAAAAAGCATCAAAAAGCATCAATTGTTTAGGAAAGTTAAAATGATTCTAGAACAGAAAATTGCTCTGCTTAAAATTCACGTTAGCAAATTCGGTTTTTTCCCCCCGTACTAAAAGTGCCCCACTCAAAATTTCGCTATTTTCAATTAAACACCAGCAGAAATTTGCAATTGCAAGACGTAAAACAGTGAACGTGCCCCACTCAATCTTCAAAACACTAGGGTAAGAGAGAACTACTTAACTATCATTATTACAGCCAAAAGTGCATTTTCTTTTTTGGGAAAATTAACATGATTCTAGAATAAAAATTGCTCTACTTAAAAAGTAGCGTCAGCTATTTCGATTTCTTTTCTTCCGGAGAAAGTGACCAGCTTAAGATTTCGATAATTTTAGCTTCAACACAAACATCTTAAGTTATAAATCTCGAGATCTCAATCTCAAAGCCTAAAATGACGCGCATTCTATGAAATCGGTGACAAATGCATACCTCGTATTAGGATCTTCACAAAGACTCGAGAAAACCCCTAGGCTTTGGAAATGAGATCGAAATCTAGGGTTTTTTAGGTCGAGGGTTTGAAGAGACGGAGCATCCGACGAGATTTAAGATTGGGATTTCAGAACGAGCACGCGTCAAGAGACTTGCGGCTGTTTCCCTTTCATCTTTTTTGTGTGCTCGGTATTTCCTTGTCGTTTCTGGGGAATTGAGCTTGCCGACATTGTTTGCACACAGGACCCTAAGATTTTTTTATTATTGGTAGATAAATTACCAATAGGGGCAACAATGCAAATTCTGTAATTGGATAAATAATGTTCTGATATTGATCCCGAAAATATTAAAAAGGAGTGTTTGGCATGGTGTTTTCTTTCTCTATGGTGTTTTTTCCAAAATAAAAACATAACATTTTTTGAAACCATTGTGTTTTTATGGAAAAAAAATATGTATGGGTAAAAAATAAAAAATAAAATACTTATCTCAAAACACCAAAAAGATATTTTGACTTATGTTTTGAGTTTTGGGAGATATTTTTACTTTAATAATAATAAACTTTTATAATATATTACATTATAATTGCTTACTAATAAATTATTAATATATTATTTAATATTATATTACAGTTGATGTAATTAATAATGTAATATACTTATTCTAAAATAATACTTTTTTTATATACTATATTATATTATAATCTAATATATTATATTATATTATAATTAAATGGTGATAATATATTGTAATAAATAATATGGTATATTTTAACATAATATAATATATTATATTATATTATACTATTATTTAATATTATATTAACCTAATATCTTTAGTATAATTTAATATTTTGTGTATCAATAAAATTATATAGTATAATATAATATACATAATATATGATAATATATTTATCATATAATTAATGTAATATATTATCAAAAAAATTAGTAGATTATATACACTATTTTATATAATAAATTATATAATAATGTAAAATAATTTTATGATATATATATATGCGAAAAAATCCAAACTAACTTTGACAAAATGAACTCATCATAGTGTTTTGGAAATATTTTTGGAGAAAAAACACTATGGTGTTTTGTTTTCTAAGAAAAACATGACAAAAAATCACCATGGTATTCAAACACACCTTATTTAGTATTTAAGTTTTATCGAATAGGTCCCTCATGCTATGATATGTTATCTTTAATCCCTAAAAACCATTAATATGATTAAAGTATTCTATTATTCTCGGTCTTCCTTACAGATGTTAAGGTAATAATATATAGTAAAAATATGTCAAGGCCCTAAAAAAACAAAACTTTATGTGACATAGCCCCTTGTACATTTTTCATTGTGTATAAGCCCTAAATACATTGCCAAATGTGTATCAGCCCCTAATACTATACCAACTAAGAAGAAAGTAAAACCCA